CATAATCGTCAGGTGTATGGGCACCTTTAGAGTGGTAACATTATTGTTATTAATTATTCGTGAATTCTGATTTCACTTTGATGACAGGACTATAGCTTTGGATTTATAACTGTTAGTTCTAGTGCTGAGGTCAAAAGTTATACAAGAAAAACACAGGCTACAATAACTGGTTTCTCTTTCTGAGGATGTTAAGTATCTGATTATAATATGATGATGCTTGTTTTTAATACTTTGGGGTTGATTAACTAAAGGAGTAGAGACTGTCCACTTAACACATGGGTTATGTACTTCAACGGGTATGTCTATGCACTTTAATTATACTATTTTATGACATTTGAAAGAGAGAGGATTTTTGGGTATGTGGGGGGTTTTGTTTTGTGCATGATTTTATGGGTTAGAGATTGTGGTTACTAATAGAATCTTCCCCTTAAAAGTATGAAGATTCACTTAAAGTTTCAAATCATGTAACAAGCAAATTCCAGTTCATTTATTTCACCTGCTCATGAATGGATAGTTGAAGTGAAAGATAGTGAAAGTGAAGATTCTCAACTGCTGTAGTCAATCAGCCTAATTTAGCCAGCACAGCTAGTAATGGGTTACATATCCTGTTTTTCCTGTTCATTAAGCAATGTGAATTTCTACGCAGCTTAGTAAATAAGGTGCAGCTGTGTTCACTTTGAATACCCAATCATGGACAAGGAAAAAAAAAAAAAGCAAGATATTTCCTAGAGCATCATTAGATGAATAAAATGGACACAGCTTTACTTTATTCAATGAGCCCTTACTTTGTTACACGACCAGTATCTTCTTCATTTGATTAACCCTTGTGGGGCTACTCCCACACTGCAAAGGGTAACTTCTCATTTTTGCCTAGGGTTCAAAAAAGTTATACTCACCCGATCCTCCGAGCCGGCTCTTAGACTGGTCCCTGGAGTGTCTCTTCCCCTCCACTTCAGCTGTCTAGGAAACCTCAAGTCATCATATCCAATACATTGTTTAGGACTCTGAGGGACATACCATTGCTGCAGCGGAGGAGAGGCACGGAGGATTGGGTGAGTATAACTTTTTTTTACCCTAGGCAAAAACAAGCAATTAACCTTGTCATAAAAGGGTTAATAAAATGTCTGCCCGGAGTTCTTCTGAAATGAAAGTGACAATCAACTCAGGAGTTAAAACTTAAAAATACAGTGGAGTACCTTAACTATTAACAAAAATGTATCTTATTTGTCTATCACTCGGCTGTAGATCCTCAAATCATCTCTGAATTCTTGGTGACATTGTCCTTCATTCTGGAGGGTGGCTACTTTTGTTCCACATGTGTGTTGTAAAGTAGTGACTACTCCAAACTCGCTCTCGTGATGGACTACAATCTCATGCTTAGTTTACTCATTTGTATTGAGATTGTAATCCATCAAAGGAGTAAGCTTGGAGCGGTGTCTACTTTACAACACACACAGGGACCATTGGGAACAACAGTAGCCACCCTCCAGAAGGAAGGAGAGTATCAGCATGAATTCAGAGATGATTTGAGCATCCTTAGCTGAGTGATACACAAATAAGATACATTTTGTTAATAATTAAGGTACGTAAATGCATTTTTAAGATTTAACTCCTGAGTTTAGCATCACTTTAATCCCTGTGAGTCTCTGACCACATATGAATACACTGGTGGTATTGACTTTTCTCTGATTCTCAATTGCTGCAACTATTGAAGCCAAGTACAACCAGGCAACTAGCATCTTCAGAAAGTGGTGAGCAATCCATATTTCCTCCATATTTCTCATGACAGGTGTACATTAAACAAATCTAAACTAAGGATAAGATAAAGGACTAGAAGGGTAATTTCAGATTATCCTGGAGTTCTAGTTAAATAAGTTCAAGCATTATTTTTTTAATACTAAACATATTTAATTTTTTTTTATTAGATTAAACATTTAACAGGCACTGAAACTTTGTGAAAATATTTTACTTTTCTAGGGAACTGCTTCAAGTAAAAGTGTTCTTTTCTTGGTGATAGAGTTCCTATAGATTCTGAAGAAATTTAGACTATGCTGATGGTCTAAGAAATACCAAGAAAAATAAACTGAAGATACACATTGTGGGAATCCAGCGCAAGGAAAATACTTTAGACCAAAAGGCAGATGTATTCTTCTCACGGTGATAATCTTATTGTAAATACCTCAAGTGATAGGTAAACTCTTTTCTATGTAGAGTGCACATGTGTCTTCAATTGTAAGAAATGCAGCCTGCCAGGTCTGAGCAGATCACAAGTCTGAACACTCAAAGGGGTGGAATTTTGTTGCCGTGGTTGCATGTAAAATAAATAAATGAGATACCTAGGGAAGCTTCCACATTCTTGTGGTCTGATTAAGTCATATTTACCATAAGCTTGTATAAAAGCAATTGAGTTTTAACTGCAGAACCATAACAAAGTGTTCCATGTTTCCACACCCATATGGCACTGTTAAAGACATCCCAGGGTGGAAAAATACCCTTTAGTGTATTTATTCCTTAGAACATTACATACTAAAAAGAAATCTCTAACTAGTAGAGATGAACAATGGCTCATGATTTGTGGTTTATTGGAGAGATTCATGGCTTTCAGATAATTACCTCCACTCGGAAAGACGATCATTGAACCAGTCTGTTTTTTTCCCTTTTTTTCTTGTTTATATTATAAATGTAAAACAAGTTGAAAAGAAAAACTTTTTTTTCTGCTTTATTACATGCTTTCCTTTTCCTTTTTATCATTGGTCTATTGCATCTTAGAAAAAAGTTAAAAATGTTTCTCTTTTTTCATCAGCTGTAGCAGCTTCCCTACCCGATGGTGCTGACGATTCTGACAACAGATGTAATTATCAGGTCAAACTGAAGTGAAATGTGTTTTGGAATAGAGCATGTCTGATCTTCCACCTGTGTTTTCTGAATGGAAAAAAATGTAAACCTATAAAAGGTAAAAAAAAAAAAAAAAAGGAAAATGATTGTGGTAGCAGCCTTTTTTAGTGGTCCAAACCAGCTACATTTCACAGTGTATTTTCAGATCTGTTCCTTACTCTTTTCCTTCCAGTCTTTCCTAGCCACTGTTTAGCTAATGGAGCGGACACAAATACTTAATTGTAGATTATTTGTTGTATCAGGAACTGCAAAATGAGCACACTAAAATAAGCAGGATTTCACTTTGGTTTTATTGTTAACAGAATCCATAAAAAATGGGAATAAAACAGATATTTTTTTTAAAAAATATTTAACTAGCAAAACTGTTTTCTGTGAAGTAGACTAAATATCTGTTTTTTTTTTAACAGCCATTACTCAAATTCATTTTAACAGCCATTTTCCAAGTTATGTAAAACAGATACACATTAAGACTGTAGTAAACATAACTTAAAACGGAAGTTAAGTGTTTGCTGGTGGTGTTTGTCATAATCTGCTAATATTGCAAATGTAATTTTTCTTTCAAAAAATTGCTGACAGGCAGTGCTGGGGGGATTGCTTTGAATGCATTTTTAAAAATGCATTCAAGTACCCCAACTATTAACATAAATGTATCCTATTTGTGTATCACTTGGATGCTGATCCTCAAATCATCTCTAAATTGGTGCTGACACTGTCCTTCCTTCTGGAGGGTGGTTACTTTTGTTCCCCATGGTCCCTGTGTGTGTTGTAAAGTAGTCACCGCTCCAAGATTGCTCCAATGATGGACTACAATCACAATACAAATTAGCTACTAAATGTGAGATTGTAGTCCATCATGGAAGCAAGCTTGGAGCAGTGGCTACTTTACAAGGTGGCTACTTTATTTGAGGTTCTACAGCTGAGTGATACACAAATAAGATACCTTTTTCATAATAGTTAAGGTACTTATATGCTTTTTTAAAGTTTAAGGGCTGGTTTACCCCATATTGCAGAAACCAAGCCTCCCACGTTTTAGGGTGGTAGGGGGCGTGGTGGTGCCATTCATGTCAATGGCACCACAGACACATCTCGTGCCCGGAGTTCGTTCTCCTGCACCAGAATGCATGTTACAGCAATGCCCGTGTTCTGGTGCAGTCTGATCGCAAAAAATAGTGCATGCATTAGTTTACATTTTTGCACAACCACTTAGAGCAGGGGTCCTCAAACTACGGCCCGCGGGCCACATCCGGCCCGCTCCTGGCGGTGGGTTGTGGGTGATGAGATGCAAGTGAAGGGCGGCAGGTGACAGGCACCGGGTGGCGCTGTATTCACTCCCTCCCATCAGATGCGGCTCTCTAATTGGGCCACCGTTCGCTCCTCAAGGGGGTCCTTAGGAGGCCCCAGCGGGCGGACCTCTACAATGCCTGATTAGAGGGCCGTGTCTGCCTGATCCAGACAGCCCGGATTGCATACGAGGCAATCGGGCATTGTAGAGGGCAGCCCGCTGGAGAACAATGTCTGAGGGACAGTGAACTGGCCCCCCGTTTAAAAAGTTTGAGGACCCCTGTCCTGTCCAGTACAAGATCACAAGGGACAAAGCAGTCTCCAGCAGCCGTCCATCTACTAGCTTAAAGAAGGGAGGTAGGAGGAAGGCGATGAGCAGAGGGGAGAGTGGCTTGCCTTGCTGTGTCTGTGTGTCTGTGTGTTTGTGGAGACACACATATTACTAGCACACACAAGGGTGGCCCCATAGGACCCTGCAAGGGAAAGGAACCACCCTAAAATGATATCAGGACCAGTGCTCAGGGGAAGCTAAAATATTTTTAAATATTGAAAAACAGCTTCTATTGTATGTGATTTATCAGCATTTGAAAATAACTTATCATTTTGAGTTTCATATCACTTTAACTAGACATCATGCACACACTACTAAGATATCTATGTCATTTGCATAACATGCATTGGTTCTTGTTTGATGTCTCCCATGTCACTTCTATTGCAATAATGTAATTCATATTTTCCTATTTTAATTCTCAACCAACTTATTTTACATGGTAATGTGTACCTGCTTACAATGTTTAAAAAAAAAAAATACTAGGAACACTTACCATTCCATGATTTAACCAGGGTGGTATGAAATTATCCAGCAGCTTTGGATATACCAGTTCCCTGTCATATATATATAGGGTCCAGAACATTGTCACCACAAACTGAAAAAGAAATGAAAAAAGGGCAGATTTGGTTACGCATCAGCGTACAATATATATAATATACAAATAGCACACATTTCAAGTAATATGCTAACCACGCTGAACTTAATGTAACCCTGTGGTCACCCTTCCGCCGCAAGGGGTAAAGAGAAATACTGAACACTTCTGGGTATGGGTGAACATGTGACCAACTCTCCTTCTCCCATGTGGCAGCACTGTTGGCCTCTTATTGGCTCAGTACTACTATATAGAGGGTCCATAGCCCTCTGTCGGCTTCAACAAGACTGGGTTTTACTCCTGGCTCTTCAAGCAGAGAAGCAAGAAGATGTGAGTATAAGTAACTGGGGAATGTGATTTTAGTTAACCTTTTATGACCTGCATGGCCAAAGGAAAGGGTTGCTTTAAATATGTCATAAACCTTGAAAATTAAAACTGAATATGATAGATGCATGAGCTAAGGTTACATTTATTAAAACTGCATAGCAAATCAAAAAGTAGATCTAGAGAATAGAGATATAGGTAGCACATGTTATATGCAATTCTCAACTTTCCCCATGCCAATTTCCCTGCTAATATTTTATTCTAAATGGAAACACTGACCAACTGAGAAGTTCAGGAACTGAAATGTTATAAATTGAGATCAGCATATAATTTTTACTACCTATAATCTCTGGATCCACTGACCATTTCAGATATTTCAGGTAACCAGATAACATCTGCTTGTGCATCATTTTATCATATAATATTGAATTATCTATGTTTGTGGTAATTTGACTTAAAATATGTATATGCTGTCTATTTGAAACCAGAATTTAGCTCTCTCTCTTTCACTTATAACATCAAACATATATGTACCTAATACATAGTAAAACTGTTCTGCTGCATGCTAAAAATATTACATATCTTTGTGAATAAAGTTGTATGGTGCTTGATGTTGGGTGTTGACTTTTCTATCAAGGTTATTAGTCCATTATCTTTAATGGCAATGAAACCAAGAGTGAAGGCTACCACCTAGATAATGAATGACAGGATATGAGCAAGATTAAACTACCTCCCGGCCGGCCGTTGTGTATGAACGGCCGGCCGGGAGCTTGCTGGATGTAACAGGCCGTGTATACACCGCCTGTTAGTCCCTCGCGCCGTGCGCGAGCGGGACAGACACAAGATTTAAAAACCGGAAGCGATGCCTGTTATCATACAAGAGATCCGCCAGCTATAGAGCCGGCAGATCGCTCGAATGAGGTCCCGGTATGTGCGCCCCCCCTCCGCGGCTCCCCCCCTCCCGCTGGTCCCGGGCTCCGCTGTGCCCGGTGCGAGCCCTGGACCAGCATAGTGCCTCTCTGACAGGGGATTAGAGGGAGGTCAGTTCACGACCTCCGGTCCCCTCTCCGGGTCCCTCTCCAGTGTCAGAATGCGGAAGTGATGTACATTACATCACTTCCGCATTCTTGTGTCACTCTCCAGCTTCAGACGCTGGAGAGAAGCTGATGAAGCAAATCTCTGCTTCATCAGCTTCTTCAGGGGGGTCCTAGGTGACATTAGGGGTCTTGGAGACCCCTGATGTCTCCATTAAGAGGACCTGTCACATCCTTTGCTATCACATAGGGTGGTTTCTTAGCCCCCTCTGTGATAGCAATAAAGTTAAGTGAAAAAAAAATAGGAAAAAAAATTAACAAAAAAAAATTAAGTTACACATAAAAAAGAATTAAAAAAAACAATTTTTTTTTGAAAGTCCCCACCCCTACATACACGCATGTAAACATGCGTCAGATGCGCATACCTGCAAAAACGGCGATTGCGCCCATTACGCTGCACATGTTACATATCGCCGCAAACGTCGCAGTGAGAGCAATAATTTTAGGGCCATCAATCACTGATAACACTAAACTGATGAGCTGCAAATGCTTTTAAAGCGCCGCCTATGGTCAATTTTGGGTATGCTAGTTTTTTGCGATTTCGCGGGTGCGCACAATTTTCATGTCGGAAGGGGTCCGACATGACCCCGTCTATAATATGTTACCAAAAAAGTGGGGTAATAATAAATGTTTTATAACAAAATGTAAAAAAAAAATTTTTTCCTGAATATAGTAAAAAATAAAAACTCCAGTGGTGATTAAATACCACCAAAATAAAGCTCTATCTGTCCCCAAAAATGGTATAAAATTCATATCAGTACAGTGTTGCATGACGGAATGAATGTCAGTCAAAGTACTGCAGCGCTGAATACTGAAAAATGGCCTGGCCAGGAAGGGGGTCTAAACACCTGGTCAGCAAGTGGTTAAAGTACATAAACATAATATATTTGTATTTAATTTGTCATTCTATGAAAAAATGCCAGTATGTGCAGTTACTTTCACTAAGGCCTGGTTCACACCTTGGCGTTTTACAGCACGTTTCTACGCTCTGTAAAACGCTCAACATGTGAAAACCAATGATTGCCTATGGGCATGGTTCCCACCTGGGCGTTTTACAGCGCGTAGGAACGCGCTGCAAAATGCCCTACGCCCAAAGAAGTACCCTGATGTGAATAAGCCCCATCTGCCTGCACCCCCACAGCCAACACCCCAGGGCTTGTGGGATAGAGGCCCTTGTCCCCATCGGCACGGGGACAAGGTGCTTTTCCAGGGGTGACCCTGGAAAAGCACACTCCCAGTGCTGAGGGCATGTGGCCTGGTATTGCAGGGAAGGGGGGTGCTCGCTTGTTTCCCCCCCCCCTTTCCGGCCCTGCCAGGCCTGTGCTCGGATCAAGGGTCAGGTATGGAATTTTAGGGTGGACCCCACATCTTTTGTTTCCCCACTTTTGGGGGTGGGGTTTCCGCCTTAAAATTCCTACCAGACCTTAAGGGCCTGGTATGACTTCAAGGGGTAGCCCCCACACAATTTTTTTTGCTTTTTTTTACATGGGGTCCCTCCTAGAATTTCTACCAGACCTTAAAGGTCTGGTATGACTTTGGGGGGAAACCTACCGCATCCTTTTTTTCTCTTTTTAAATGTCATTTTTTTCTTTACAAATGTAAGTTTTGCTGCAGCAGGCTCTTTACATTGTACAGATTTGCCACTTTACAGCAGTTTAAGGGGACCTCCCAGGCACGATATTTAAAGGAATTTTTCATTTTTATTGTTTCACTTGAAGTAATGTTAAAATCACTGCTCCCTTAAAAATTTTATTTTTTAAAAGTGGTTTTTCATTGATGCATGTCCCCCAGGGCAGTACCCAAATCCTCTACCCTTTTTATGGCCATTAACTTTCATATAAGCCTTCAAAATGGGGTCAATTTATTTTCAAAGTTCTACCCCCAAAGACTTGCATTGAGTTCGAATTTAAATTCAAATCTTTCCGATGTTCGAAAGTTCCAATTCAAACCGAACACGGGGGTGTTCGGCTCATCACTATATAGGGATGCACCGATACCACTTTTTTTAAGGCCGAGTACGAGTACCGATACTTTTTTCCAAGTACTCGCCGATACCAATTACCGATACTTTCCCTTAAAGGGACAGGTCACATTTTTTCTAAAGCAATATAAAATCATGATTTTAGGTCAGTTTCTTAATATTAAGAAGAACATGAAACAAGCCATCTAATCTGGAATCTGGAAGTTTGCTTTAAAATAAGTTGTGTCCCCAGATATACAGCCACACCATAATGGTAAAAGCATAGGGTACATTAATACCCCTTATTAAGGTGCCCATATACCTTACAATTTATCTGCAGATTTTCTGTGGTCAGGTGGAAAAAGTGCAACAGATTGGCCCAGGTGGAGATTACTCCATCCACACAGTGAAGTGTAGATGGAGGAATCTGTTACACCTTTTCCATCTGGCCACAGAAAATCTGCAGACATTTGTAAGGTGTATGGCCAGCTTTACCCATTCCCCCAATAAAAGTTAAAAGCAAAGAAAACTGTCCACACCATGGCAATGTCTTTAGTTGGAAAAAAAAGGAAACAATGTCCCCTGATGTAAATCCAGCATCATTCACATCATTCTGTGATGCAGATTACCATCAATCATGACCCGCCAGCTGATGATGTCCACCTGTTGTAAATGGGCCGGAGATCCTGGGTGACACATTGACCAAATATGGTCATGAAAATACATTTGTTCAATTATGTCACCATAATCCCTGACTGGTTTGTTTACAAACACCAGCTTGTCAGTTTGTGATGCTACCAGTACAAACTGACAGATTGTTTGTTGCAGTAGTGCTACCACCACAAAATGACCGAAATTGTAAACAAACATCAGCTGGGAGTTGGGCATGTGAACTCCTCACGGTCGACCTGCAACCAAAGCTCACCCCCAGTGACATCAACAAACCTCAAATTAAAAGCTCATAATAGGTAGGGACCATGTCTAGGCACAGAATACATACGTTGGTGACTATTTGGATGATAGAGCACTGTTTTTCCCTTCGAAGAACAAATGTACATTTGAGAAAAGTGCAGTTATTCCTTTAATCAAGTCACTTGACTTTCCCAGGATGCATACTTGCCCGATTCAAAAGGCAGCAGCTGACAGAAATCTTTAGTTCCTGCTGATCCCTATAGATTTCTATGGGGTCATCTCTCGACTTAAGAGACGGTTTCATAGAAGTCTATGGGGACCAACTGTGCAGGTGCGGCCAGGAGAAAGGAAGTTAGTCTTTTACATGCAGAAAGCTTTGGACCATGCTTGAGAGTTTTTTAAATAGAGTTAAATGTACCAGCATCATAGGGTAGAGTGTAAATAAATAAAATTGCTTTTTTATAATGGGTACAGCTTTGAGGAACACTTGTGGTTAGGTGGTGAAGTGGTTAGGTGGTAATTAGGTGAACAACACTTCCAGTGAAAACAAGACTAATTAAACAGAAAGAACAAAGGACATGTAATGAACAACGAAGACTTAAATGTGCAAGTTATTTTATTGGACAGTAATGACATATATTCCATATGTTTAGAATACTTTTACAGTGACATTGACCATTGTTAAGTATATGATTAGGAACATAAATGTGTTT